TGTCCACTTTCTTCCCCCTTCTGATGACACTAGCAGATGTAGGCTGGTTGAAGGCTCTTCCTAATTATAATTTCTGGACTCCTAACTGTTCCTTCTGCTTCTGAATAGCTCTCCCTCTGGCTCACTTTGACGCACTGGGATTTTGTCTGTCACGATGTTTATAATCAAGTATCTTGAGAGCTTCCAGTAGATTTCAGGAGAGTAATATACATCTCTGCCTAACTGCCTCCGGAGGTGGATATTATATTGTTAGTTATGAAACTTAATACTTTAACTTTAGGTGTTATGATTTTATACAGACAACTCAGAATTTATGAGAATATCTTTGATATTCTCATTATAAGTTAGTTAACAAGAAGTTACAGCATAAGTGCTTAAACAGGGGCTTAGGAGTTAGAATCTTGGCAAATCCATTACTAGTTGTATGACTTTGGAATGCTTTCTTAGCCTCTTGGGGGTCTTACTTTAAGTTTAGTTTTAGTTTAGTTTTCGTCTTTTAAAAATAGGGAGAGTGATAGCTACTTTGTAGGGTTGCTATATTAAATGAAATCCTTAAAAATATTTAGTATAGTTTTGACACATAGTTAACACTCAAAACATGGTATATATAAAACATATGTAAGTGGGGCCTAAAGAAAGTTATAAAATTAATTCACTTGATTTAGATGTGTTACATCCCAGGGGACTAAGGAAACTGCATTTATCTCAAGAGTCCCAGTTGAAATATCTGAGAAAACAACATAAGAGATATTGGCAAATCTTCCGAATATGAAAAAGATAGACTATGAGATGTATAGACAGGAAAGTTTGACTCCAGTGCACAGCAAAGTTCTGAAACAATAAATGAGGCATATGGATTATAATCATTTAGTAAAGACTGTAGTGGTTGCTAGGAGTCACCACAGGCTTAGCAAGAACAATTCTTCCCAAATACCCATTTCCCTTTCAAATAGTATTATGTGTTATGTAAAGTGAGGAATACCATTTCAGCAAAGAATCATAATTGTCCACTTATGGCTAGTACAGTAAAATAAATGGGCTAAAATTGCTGGCTTTGCAACTCAGCAGCCATCAAAGCCAGCTGATGAAGGTCTTGGTTTTCTTGATGGGGTCTCTGGTGGAATACCATGGAGTGCTGGCTTGTAACTTGCCCACTTAAGAGTTTAGGAATTTGGATGAAGAAATAGGGAATGGATGTGTACCAACAAAATATGCAGATGGCCCAAAGTCGAGAGGGGTCATAAATATAATGGAAGAGAGAATCAAACTCCAGAATATTTCTGATCGTCTGAAGCGTCACATGGAACCCCAAAGACTGAGTTTAATGAAGCTAAGTTCAAAAAGTCAAGCCTGAGTAAGAGAGGAGATCTTATTTGGTAGAAGTTCAGGCAAAAATGATCTGGTCATTTAACTGACCCTAAACTTTATATTATTCTATTCATTCAAGAAGCATGTACTGAAAGTATTAATACTACCTGTCATGTTCTTTTCTCAGCACTGGGGAGACAGTAATGAACAAAATAGCCAAAAATCCCTGCCTCCATGCAGCTTATATTCTTTATATGCCAACAGTCATGCAGCTACCTTAAAAAATGTACCTAAGGTTAAGCTTTATCTGCAAAATTTTAATATCCAGCTCAGTATAGTTAATAGCTCTACACTTATTCTTGATGCTGTATCTTGCACTGGGATCATTACTTTCAGTTCAGAATACCCTGCTCTGAACAAACAAAGCAAAACAAAACAAACAAAAGTGACAGTAACACAATGGAAGGAATAGAATTCATTTTGGAAGAGAACTGAAGGATGATAAGAAGAGTGAACTTCGTAGGGAAATTGTATCCCACAAATATTTGCAAGATATATGAGAAGAGCTTATATGATGTGTAAGCTTGTTCTGTGTTGGCACCAGGAGACAGTACTAATTATAAAGAAGATGATTTCTGGTAAATATAAGAAAGATTGCCTGTGAAGTATCCTGGATGCAGCTGGACGCCCAGCTGTGTGTCTGAGCTCCAAGAGGGCTGAGGTACTTCTTGTGATTCTTAGTCGTGTGGTTAGTACACGGTGAGCACCCAGAGATGTGTGGATGGATATTCACACGGCATTTTGTAGGGATAATCTGGCTATGAAACAGTGTTTAAAATCTTCAGTTCTGTTTTCCTTAAGGAATCTGAGGGTGGAAGAAAGTACCCGGAGAACAGCTGTGGGGGACTAGGCTATAATCTTTTGTCACATTGTAACATTTACCAGTGAATTAAACCACTTTTCTTAAGAGACATTTAAAAGACCACTTTAGAATTTCTTGGAAATTTAAAAAAATATTTATCTGACCCTGCTGGATCTTATTACTGTATGTGGGATCTAGTTCCCTAACCAGGGATGGAACCCAGGTCCTCTGCATTGACGGAGTCTTTAGCCACTGGCCCATCAGGGAGGTCCTGAAACTTAAGATATGCTTCTTGATACATTATCCTACCCAACTTAACCACCATCATTTTTTTTTTTTTTTTTGAGGCCTTCACTATAATTCCCACCCAGGGCCTTGCTTTCTCTGAATTTAACAGTTGTGCAGTGCATAGCATTTAATTCTTCCTTCATTGCTTCATGGGTCTCTCCATCAAGGTGATAAGATTTTTGAGGGCAAAACCTTATTTTATTTTTTTCTTATATTCTCCCAGACACAGAGCAGAAAGTCAGAAAGTGATGATTGATTGATTGATTGATTCATCAAAGGGAGAGTCAGTAGCTGTACGTTTGAGCCACTGTAAGAACTCGTGTAAGGCGTAGCAAGTTAAATAGACTTTAATTTCTCTATGCCTCGCATCCAAAGAAGGGACTTATATTTTTAATTTATTAGTCTCCTACTTTGGCTGAGCAGGTGCTTTGTATATAGTTGAATCTGTATTAATGGCTGTAGTCCAGGGTTCAAATTGTCTTCTTGGCCGAACCTCTGAGGGGAGCTAAGATTCTAGGTACAACCCCCAAGCCCAGTTTAGAGGCTCATTGATTGTGATTCATCTACTTGAGTGGCCAGATCTAGCATCTGCTTACATTTGTATTTCAGATAAACTGCAGTGCAGTATTTGGGACACATTTATATTTTAAAAGTAGTCATTGTTTATCTAGAACTGAATGTAACCGAGTGTCCTGTGTTTTATCTGGCAGTTCTCCATATAAACCCCATTCCTTTCACATTCCCATAAGTCTAAGTTCTTAATTAACTCCCAAGTAAACTTCACTGAAAGAAAATATTTGTGCCTATGTGATCAATTCCAATGGTAATTTTTTTAATCAGAAAAGGGGAAAATCCATGTACTCTGAACTGCTTTTGTCATGTGTACTGTCTTTTTTCACATGTGTCCAATAATGATAATTCCACAAACATCTGGGGTGTCGGGGGTGCCAGGTTACTCTCTCATGGTTTCCTTGGTGGAATAGTTTACTTCGTTCATATGATACATTGCTGATACTAGTTTGCTCCGGGACCACAGAAGCCACTGCTAGCAAATAGTTAGGTTCTCTGCCTTGGAATCAGATGAAATGTGAATTTGGGATAATCTGTCTTCTCACTTCCTACACATCAACTGCATTGACTGATAAGAGCTGCAGTGATCAAAGCAAAGCACAGCCTCTCTCAGTTAATTCTTTTGTTCTCTTGTTTCGTCTGCTCAAAAGGAAGATCATATTCGGGTTTGTTCTATCATAAATTTCTTTTGAGGAAAATTGCATTCATTTTCCATAAATAAATAATGACTTGTTTAGGAGCAAAGCAGCTCTATGCTATCAAGCAGCTCTGTGCTAGGTACTAAGGGGAAGCAGGATCAGTAGGATGTTGCGCCTATTTTCAGGGATTCACGGGAATCTGCCTGTTCAACGCTTGCTTTTAAGTGGCTCAGCAGTCATCTCAAAGAAGTTTGTGATAAGAGCTAATTAGCTCATAATGAAATGATTCTTCTCTCAAACGTTTTAAATAAACACCAAGTTGTATGTTTCGAGCAGAAGCTATTCCTAATTGGTGGTTCGAAGGGCAAGAATTAGACTGTTTTCTTCTCTTTTAGTTCTGTCGTTAGAACTTTGCTGATCCTGGTGTGGTCTGCAGACCAGCAGCATCATCATCTTCTGGGAGCTTGTTAGAAATGCCAGGCTCTCAGGCCCTGCCCAGAGTCCACTGAATCAGAATGTGCAGTGGGACCAGAATCCCCAGAGACTCATGTGTGCCCTTTGAGAAGCCCTGTCATAATACAGAATTCCTCCACCTCCCCTTGTGCAGACTGATCATCTGAGAATCTTGTTAAAACAGGTTCTTGGGCTCCAGCCTCAGAGATTCTGATTTTGTCTGAGGAGAATTTGCATTTCTCACCATCTCCCAGGAGACACTGGTGCTGCCTGTTTGGGAAGCACAGGTCTCGTTGCTTGCTCAACTGCCCTTTGAGGGTGGGTGACTAGAACCCCAATGAGGTGGTCCGTCTAGTTTTCTATTACTTACCCTGGAGTCAGAAACCTGAAGGTGAATCTGATCCCTGCAGCATCCAGCCTGTTGTGGGGATGGATTTGCTTACAGTGGGCTGTTCAGGTCAGTCTGTGATGGCCACTGGGAGGCTGCAAAAGAGGGAACAAGTAAATGCTCCTTGGAGGCTCAGGCTTCCGAAGTGGGCCTGGCAAGATAATAGGATTTTGGCCCATTCCTGGGATTCATGTGAATAAATGCTAGAGAGGTAGGGTGTACAGAGAAGCAGTGACGGTTATCCTGTATTGCTACAAGATCAGATACAGAGCCTCCAGAGAGAAGAGCAGAGAGCATGGAAGATGAATCGGGGGAAAAAGTCTGGGGAAAAGATGTAGAGGCATCTTAAAATGTCACCTTATAGTGTTTAGATTCTGTCTTAGAACTTTTTGCTATTACGACATGTGTTTGTTTTTTTTAAAGATAGCATGTCTCTTTGTACTTACACGTCTCATTGTACTTATTCCATGTGTGCACTATTTTTTTCTTTCAGGATTAAGCATGAGAACATCGTGGCCCTGGAAGACATCTATGAAAGCCCAAATCACTTGTACTTGGTCATGCAGCTGTAAGTACTGTGTTTAGTTGTTTGTTTGCAGACCAGGGGTTGCAAACTCAGATGCCTAAAGGGTCAGGTTGTGAAACAAACTAATGGAATGGGTCAGTAAGACCCCAGGGGGTGGTGGGAACTGCGGGGCACTGGATTTAAGAATGTGTCTGTCTAAGGAAGGGGACCTTGAGACCTCACTTGCTCTGGTCTGCAGCTGCTGGATCAGGCTGAAAATCTGTAGTTCTCATAATGGAATCCAGTGCTACTATTGCAGGGTCACTCTATTTAGGATGTCTCTTGTAAATTTTTTTTAAGCGTGGGTTTTTAAAAAATTATTTTTGTTTATTATTCCCATATGACTTGCAAGATCTTAGTTCCCCAACCAGGGATTGAACCCATGCCCCCTGCAGCGGCTTCTTAATCACTGGACCTCCAGGGAAATTCTTCTTTTGCTTTTTAATGTGCGAGGTCCAAATGTTGCTTCCTGGAAGCACTTCATGGTCCTGTTGGGAAGTACACACTGCTTCTGTCTCCAGGAGAAACTCCCCGCCTTGTCTTCATTTCTGAGGAGCTGGGGGGTAGCAGCAGATGGCAGCTCTGTGTTCTGTCCCTTCCCTTCTCAACTTCTGCTGCTGGCAGATGAAAGTGCATGAGATTCATGCCAGTCACAAGAGACATGTAATTGGAGTCAGACTATGCCATTAACATAGTCCCCCCTTTAGAATATTTCTGCATTCCAGTAACTCTGGAGCTTAACAGAAGGTAGAAGAAATAAGAAAGCTGAATATCTAGGTAGAGACCACTTGAACATTTGTTTTTTTTTTAAATGTGAGATGAAATTAGCCTCCCCACTTACACAAATGCTTTCCTCTAAGTGATATAATTCGTAGGAGTATCCTAGGATTAAATTTGTTAGCATTAAGTGATGGAAACTGGATCAGAGTGCTACATTTTCACCACGACTTGAGTAAATTCTGGAACACTGTGCTATTGAGCTTAATGACCAAAGGGGATTTTTGTTGAAGGTAAAAATATATAAATTTTGTTACTTATTGATGATTTTCAGACTTTGGATTTCCAAAGGTAGAAGATTTGAGGGTCAGGCTAACAGTTTTTTATCGATTTTCCTTTTCCTTATGAATGTTTAAACAGTGTATTAACTTGGAATCATCTGAACATGCAAACAGCTGTTCATCAATGCATTTGTTTAATATTTCATTATTTTAAGGTATTTTTAGTAGCTTATGAGATTTTTGTGTAGATACTTCTGAAAGTGTCCTAGGTTGGAAGCATGTGGGTGTTTTGACAAATGACAGTCTGAGGTGGTAACGAGCAGTTTTACAGGTTTGTGTGGTGGTGTCTGCCATGCAGTAGGCAATGACTGCTGGTTCCATGTTAAATTTTCAATATCTTAGTGTGGTCTTTCCTAGTTCTGTGCTATTCTGTTTGTTTTACCATTTAGCACATTTCTAGTTCTCCCCAAGTCTCATGTACTTCCTAGAAGCTCATGTAACTTTGTTTTATACAGAATCACCTCTTAAAGAAGCAGGTGAATCACCTTTCCACCAATTACTGACTGCTCTGTAGGAAAAATAGGGCATTTTGGTGACAAGAAAAAGCCCCACAAAATGTCCGTAGTATGTTGAAATGTGTGCTTTTTTATTGGTGATATCAAAAAACCCCAAAGTATTGATACTTCAATCCAAAACTATATGTATCCACTTGCTTTAATTTCTCTGTTTATGGTAATGCCACCAAATAAGTGGAAAGCACCCCAAATGTATGTGTCTCAGCTCTGCCTCTTAATAGCTGGGTGTATTTTGGCAAATAACTGGGCCTTTCTCCATCTTAGTTTCCTTACTGGAAAAAAGCTTACATCATAATAATATATTTACATAGAGGGCTATAGTGAGTACTGAGTGAGAAAAATGTGTGAGAAATGGTCTGTCATAAATAATAGGTCCTCAATGCAGACTAATTTCTTTATGGAATTATATCATTTTATCAGTTTGTCTCTGCAGATGGTCTTTAGTTTTATGAGATAAAGTTCAAGTACATTTGAATTCTGCCTTTCTAAGCAGCTTGATTATATACTTAGGAGCAGAAGCGTATGTAAAGGTAGGCTGGCAGGAGAGCATGCAAATGTCCAGATTGGGACAAACTTTGAAACATTTCTCATACTATTTTGTTATTGTCAGTGTGTAAATCTTCCATTGTCTTTGTTGAATTTATTCTGAAGTATTTTCTCTTTTCAATCCTCTTGTTTGTTTCATTTTTCCATTGACTCGCTGCTATTATATATAGAGTATATATAATTGTATAAAAATACAATTGATTTTTGTTCGTTAACCTACAACTTTGCTAGATTGTAGTAGTTGTTTTGTGGATTCCTTAATGTTTTCTGTCTACACAGTCATGTCATCTGCAATCCACATTAATTCTGGTTGGCCCCCAGAGGAATTGTATTTGGTAAAATGTTGGTAGTTTAGTCCTAAATATTAAGTGTATTTTAATGTTGTAATTATATCCCTTTAAAGTATTTTATGTCAGATATTTTGAAAATTGAGATTGACCTTTCTTATTCTTTCCTCTTCTCCATTTGTTATCTAAGCCAGTGATATTTCTTTAAAGCAATGACAAAAAAGAAAGAACGAGGGAGAGAGGAAGGAAGGAAAGAAGGAGCAAAGCAATGACAGGAAACCTTTGATATATCAGAATACAATCCTGGGGAAATCTTTGGTCGGGTTGAGGATTTTGTGGGCTTTATTGTCCTTGTTGTTGTGTTTTAGTTTTTATTGATAAGTCTCAATAGTTTTTGTTCCCGAGACCTCTGTGTCTTTTCTGCCTAGATCAGCGGAAGGAGGTTTGGGTTTTTTTGTTTGTTTTTGAAGAGTTTAGAAAGTCCTTATTTTCTAAATACTCGGGGCTGATCTAGAACACAGCATCTGAGGGGAACTGTATTTCACAATATTTGTGCCTGGGAGGTTTCTGGTTTCCTGGGAAACATCATCTTGGTCACTGACACTCAGATATAATAGAGGATGCTCAGCCCCCTAATTTTATTACTTAGCTAATTGCTGTTTCGACTCTGAATATGTAGCATACTTGTTCCATTGCTGTTGCAGCAAAAGACACTAGATTGTTTATAGAGGTCTATATTTAAATTTTATTTGGGTTTTGGGACAAATATCTTTTTTTTCAGAATGCTTTTTTCTGGAACTTGCTGCTCTGTTTTAGTTCTTTTTTTGATTATTGAGAGATAATTGACTTATAACTTCATATTCATTTTAGGTGTACAACATAATGAATAGTTCTTTTTGGAAAGTTCTTTAGATAGCGTGAGGTCAAAATGACACTGGGGTAAGTTATAGAAGAGAAGTCAGTTTGTTTAAACTTTATTTCTGGCCTGACTTTGTGGAATATTAGCCCACATACCTGGAGATGATAAAAGACCACCCTCAACTCCTCCCCTTCCACATCTGTAACAACTTAGAATGTGAAATACACTTCGGGCTGATAAAATTAAAAGGACAAATCAGAATACTTTTTAAAGAATGAGATTATACCTCGTATTGAGTTGAATTATATCATATTTTCAGTTAGGCTTAAATGTCTCTATGTGGTAACTCCTGACTTTATATCCTCTCAGTCTAGACCCTTCCCTACATCCAGGCTGTATATCCAGCTGTCTGCTTGGTGGCTCCACTTGGCCGTGTCATGAGCATTACTAACTCACGAGATTTGAAATAAACTCCTGAACGTTCCACAGAGTCTGCTTCTCCTGCTGTCGGTCTCATCTCAGCAGATGGTAAACTCCTTTCTTCCAGTTGCTCAGGCCAAAAGCGAAGTCCTCCTTGACTCATCTTTTATTCTCCTATGCCCCACAGTCCCATCAATCGGCACACCCTGTGGTTACGCCCTTGAGACTGTCCTGAGAATTCAGCCACTTTGTCACCATCATCACCACCATGAATAAACTCCTCTTTCCTCCCCCAGCCTTGCCCCACTGCCCTGTTCTTTCTCAGCGTGTTAGCCAGACCTTGTCTTGCCTCTGTGGAAAGCTCCCACTGGCTTCCCATTTCAGAACCCCGAGCTCCAGCAGTGGAGGCACGGAGTCTTAACCACTGCATTGCCAGGGAAGGTCCTGAGACCAAATCCTTGAAGCAGCCTCCAGGATCTTCCATGTCCAGATACCCTGGTCACCTCTCTGACCTCATCTCCCACTCCTCTCATTACTTCACTCAGCTGCATTATTTCAGTCACCTTGCTTTTCCTCACACACACTGTGCTTGCGCCCCAGTGGACCTTTGTTCGGCTTGGACCTCTGTCTCTTCAATATCTTCATGCTGTCATGGGAATACTAGAAATATTAGAGTTTCTACCAAATGTCACTTTTTCAGTGAGTTGTTCCCAGCTCCCCTGTGAAACAGCACCTCTCTTCCTGTCTCCTGCCACATGTTCATTCATTCCCTGTCCTCTTCCCAGCTTGATTTTTCTCTATACCACCATCAGAAAATGTCCCTCCGCTTTGTTCTCTGCTTACAAACGTGCTTGCACACTGCGGTGGGCACTTGCCAAATATTTGTTCCATTAATGATCACCTATAAAAGGAAAAGTGATTAACACTTATTCACTCATTTAATTCTTACCCCAAGGAGCAATTTTATCCAAATTTTACATGAAGAACTTGAGCAGAAATGTTGGATCCTTCATCCAAGCCAGAGGGTGACCCAGTGGATACTCTTAATCCATGTATTATCAATGTAATACAATACACTGGTAATGTTTTCTAGGAAAAAAATCTTGTAGGTAGTATTAATGTGAGTAGTTCAGTTTATCTGGAAAAATTTATTACTTAGTATTCCATAAAAGCTTTGGTAACTGTAAAATGCCCTCTATTTTGTATTCATTTGTGAGGGGAAAAATTTACTAAATGATATCACAGGAAATCGCTAAAGCAATCTCAATTCATTCACACCAATGATCATGTCTCTTTCTTAAAATAATTTTTTCAATTA